AAATGTATGGTGCACAAATCAAAAATGCCTGAAGCATGTAGTTTCATGCAGGTCACCATTAATCAAGAAAACCTAAAGAGAGCTTAGAACAAAGATGTTTGGCCAAATGGTGCAGTGTTATCTAAGTTTTTATGAAGAGGAGGATGCCAATGTAACTAGATCCTCTTTAAAAAGTATTGTTAAATTAGAAAAATATTTAAATGCCATTCACTATAATGCTAAATCGTTACGTAACTCTGTTCTAGATTTTGAAGTTCTGCTTAATGATATTTCAGCTGATTGTTTATGTCTTAACGAGCACTGGCTTTTACCTGATGAGCTACATGTTGTCAATATTAAAGGCTATCGTATGGTTTCTGGATTTTGCAGGACGGTCAAGTCCCATGAAGGTGTAGGTATGTATACTAGGAATAACGTTAGTCTTAATCATTTGAATCTTTAAAATCTCTCTTCTGAACAGCGTAATGAGATTACAAATATTTTATTAAATAAATCTAATGTGCAGCTTTTTTCTGCCTATCGTACTCCAGATGGTGATTTAGACAACTTATTTAACATTATGGCTAAAGCTCTTAAAAAAATTAATGTTCATAAACTTGTTATAATTACGGGTGACTTTAATGTCCATTTTAATGAAACAGATATCAGAGCTTTAAAACTCTGTTCTTTTTTTAGATCTTACAATATCCAAAAAAAAAAATTATTCAATACTTGAAGTAATAGATGTCTTGATAATTTTTTCGCAAATATTGATGGTACCACAAAACCTGTGGATCTCACTCACACATCTGACCACAGAGGTATTTCCTTTCAGATAGCTTACTAATTAACAAATTTTGCAACCAGAGTTTGTTATAGATCTATCACAGATAAAGGACTCTTCAATCTGAATCAGATTTTGCTAAACTGCAACTTTAATTTTGTATACAATGATAATTTGGATATTAATTTAAAATTTGAAATGCTAATTGATGTGTTATTAAATTCCATAAATATCTCTTTTTCAGAAAAATCGAAATTGCTGAATAAAAATAATCCAGGTAAAAAAGTAAACTGGTTTAATTACACTTTGAGAAAAATGCGTGAAAGACTTTAATTAATTATAGCAATACATAGAAACGATTCCATTGCTGCACCTAGGAGTACCATTATCAAACTTAGAAAGGAGTACAGGAAGCCATCAAGCTTGCAAAAATTAATGCAAATGATAGGTTTTAAAAAATTCTGGCATCTCTCAACAAGATATGTGGAAACTTATTAATGGTAATAAACATAAAAATGTTTTCTTCACTGATAATTCTAAACTCAATTTAAAGAATTCAAAGAAGTAGCCACTTCTGCTCAACTGCTGAGAGAGTAATAAATGAACTTGAAGTTTCTCAGCTAACTCTTGATGACTATTGAAAGTGTATACCACAGAAAAATATCCCGTGTTCTAGTTTTTGGCCAGTGAACTTTAGTGAAGTTAACTTAGCTATTACAAAAATAAAAAATAGTAACAGCAAAGATCCTGATGGGTTTAACATAAGAATTAATAAAACAATTAAAGATATAATTGTTCAACCTCTAACAACTTTAATAAATCAATCAATATCTTATATTACTTATCCCCAAATTTTCAAAACTGCAAAGGTAGTACCTCTGTTTAAGAATAATGGCTCTATTCATGATTATAACAATTATCGACCCATTTCTGTCCATGTTGTCCATCTTATCAGAAGGTTATAAACGAATTTAAAAAAATCAAATTAATCTACATTTTGAATCTAATAAACTGTTTGCCATGAACCAGTATGGATTCCAAAAAAAAATAAAACAACAAATTTAGCTATTGATCATTTCACTAGCAATATTTTGGAAGGGTTTGAAAAATATCCTGATACTCTTGCATCGTTTTTAGATCTTACTAGGGCTTTCGATTGTGTCACACATAGTATTCTGTCTAGAAAACTTCCTTATTATAATTTGAATAGTGATGCTATTCAACTAATTGATTCATATCTATCAAATCGTGATCAATATGTTCACTTCAACTAGTGTAATTCTCAAAAACAATCTCTGTTGTTTGGAGCCTCAAGGCTCGGTTTTGGGTCCAGTATTATTTTTTATCTATTTTAATGATCTAGTGTACTCTCAAAATAAAACAGTTAACACTGTTTTATTTGCTGCTGACACTACTTTCTATGAAAGCTATCACCCTTCTGAATTCGACATGAATTACCAAACGTCTAAAAAAAAATTCAATTGGTTTTTAGCTAATCGTCTCTATTTGAACAACTCCAAATTACAAAGTGTTAATTTTACTCTAAGAAATAACACTTGTGTTAAAAACGTTGCTCTACTGCAATGTGTAACCGGAGCGAAGTTTCTGGGGATATATTTGGATGCAGGTTTACCCTGCGAACAACATATAGTTAATCTGTCGAAAAAGCTTTCCCGACAACTTTTCCTTTTCAGGAACCTAGTAGAAGTGACTTTCAGTTAAACCATTTTAACAGCTTATAGTAGCAATTTTCATTCTCATCTGACATATGCTAATCTCTCTTGGGGTTACTTTTGTTATATTGATAAAGTGTTTGCACAACAACGAAAATGTGTTCGTATTATCTCTGGTCACCGTTATAGAGAAAACTGTAGAAACTCCTATAGAACTTTAAAAATTTTAACTTTACCTTGTGTATATATTAAGCAGTGTCTGTCGCACATTAAACAAAATCTTAGCCAGTGCACATGTAGATTTTCACAATTATCCCACCAGATTTAACAATAATCTTATGCCAGAATTTAGTCGTCTTTAGAGATCCAGAAATGGTTCAAGGTATTTAGCAATAAAATTCTACAACTTAGTGTCAGCTAGAATAAAAGCTTTTAATTTTCATCAGTTTTAGGCAAAAATTAAGAGTTACCTTATAGTGAATGCCTTTTTTACATATAAATTGTATTTTACTTCCGATTTTAATTTGTTGTAATTGTCAACAGATAAGCCATATATCTATCTATTTTGTGTAAATTGATTTAATTTAAAAACATTTTTCTGGCCAATTTATATAAATAATTATGTTAATGGCCATATATCGTTTATTACAGAATTGAATAACCTTTCAAATGAGTTACCACACGATGCTATTCTCATATTTCGGAAACTTCATAGATTACATCATCATGCCCAGATGGACAACGTCACTAGTATGATATCGACCCTCCCAACGAAAACTATCGTAACTCATTTTTTTCAATTTTGAGTTATTACCATAATCAGATTTCATGATACCGAAATTTATTCCAGAGAATACTATAATAACTCAAATCGTAATATAGACAACACAATATACATTAATGCAAATGTAGTATCTCAATTCTCTCTGTACTTTACCGCGAAGAAAATAGTATTATGGAGTTACTATAGTGTTCGATGGAAATTTGTGAGAAGAGACCGAGATCCGGCTATACGTTTCAAGCGAATAAAATTATAAATTATGTTAAATGTCGTTTTACATTGGATGAAGTACTAAAGAAAGCCTTGTTTAATGATATAATAATTTATAATAATGTCGCAGATAACTAAATTTGGGATTACTGGTTAATAATAATACACAAATACCATCAGGTAAGTTGCCATTATTGAATATCTGTTTAAAATATAATGTTTTTGTTAATGTTAATAATGCTATGGACAGTAAAGAAGTTAATTTCAAAGGAACAATCCAGGTATCTAGTCATTTACATGTTTCTTTTTTTTTCATTTAAATGTCTTTATTTTTTGTTTTGTTTTAGACAACGAAAATAAAAGTAACGGCAACAATCATACCGTTGACATTGATGCCAACATATTTCCTTCTAATTATTCCAATGATGATCCAAACTATGTTCCCTCAGGATCAGAAGCCGAAAACGAAAATTTGAATCTATCTGATAACAAGAGAAGTAATGTGTTATTGGACAGACTATCATCAAAAAGAAAGCGAAAAGTAACAGAAAAGATTAAGATAGGAAGAAAACGAGTTAGAAATAAGAACAATTGGATCGACAAAAAGTCAAAAGAGAACTTAATAGCTGTCTGGAACATAAGAAGGTTCCTTGTAAAGATATTTGCAGATATAAATGTAATAGCATATTAAATTTTGAAACAAGACAAGTAATTTTTGATGAATTTTGGAAACTTGGAGATCATACCAGTCAGTGGGATTTTCTTGCAAGTTGCGTGACTTTTCTTTCGCGAAAATATAAATTTAATATTGGTAATACCGAGAAACAAATTTGCAAGACAATGTTCTTGAATACGCTTGAGATTTCTGAAACTTTTGTTAGCACTGCATTGAAAAAAAATTAGTAAAGCTGGTACCATAGAAAGAGATAAAAGAGGAAAACAATACTAGACCGCTCAAGATCCTGGATAGTGTCAAAGATAACATTGTAGAACACATAAAATTATTTCTACTTGTACCTTCTCCTTATACAAGGAAAAACTTAAAACGCATGCACTTAGAAGAGGGCTTAAACATATCTCTAATGCACCGGATGTACGTGGAATATCCCAAACTCAAAAAATGGGATGCGTCGCTACAATTAGGCAATACAGGGATACTTTAATCTTATTATTCAATATTGCATTTTTCAAGCCTAAGAAAGAACAGTGTTCAGTATACAGTGCGTATAACAATTCATATCCAGAGAAAAGAACTCAATTAATGGAAGAAAATTACACTAGTCATGTTTTAAACAAAGAATCTGTTATAAATCTGAAAGATGCTAATTAGGAATTGTCAAAAAGTGATAAATCGTTTTTAACAATATGCTTCGATTTGCAGAAAGTATTAGTAACGCCCAAGTCAGAGGTACGTAACTTTTATTATAAGAGTAAGCTTGCAACTTATAATTTTACTATTTACGACTAGGCAATAATCAAAGATATTGCTACGTATGGCATGAACAAATATCAAAAAGGGGGCCGAATGAAATTGTAAGCTGTTTATGGCATTTTTTAAAAGATGCAAAACAAGATGGCATTCGGAAAATCGTGTTATACTCCGACAATTGCGGAGATTTTTTTGATGTTTGCTCATGCATCGGTGACTTTGGATCTAGAAATATCACACCGTTTTCTTGAGATTGGTCATACCCAGAACGAAAATGACAGCATGCACGCTGTCATAGAAGTTGCAAAGAAACGACATTCGAATATTTATACTCCTAACCAGTGGATTATCCTCATAAAGATGGCAAAAGTTACTCCTCTACAGTACAGAGTGAAAGGAATGTCTCAAGAAGACTGTTTTAGTTTTAAACCAGTGGTTCAGAAACAGAACTGGAAGAGCACTAACACTGCTGAGGTGGTAAAGATAAGCAAAATTAGCGAAAATCACTTCGATCCGAAGAATCCTTATAAAGTTTATTTTACCTACAGTTTTTCAGAAAATTAAAAAGTACTCGACATCGCAACATCAAAAGTACGTAAACCCCAAGAATATAAACTACCACGTTTATACCAAGGTCTTTTACCAATTGACAGTAAAAAATTAAATGGTCTATTAAGTTAATGTAAAGTCAATTTGATACCAACAATGTACCATGGGATTTATAACTCCCTGCGGCCTGCTAGTGAAAATATTCTACCAGAGTGCTCTACAGATCAAGAAACTGGTTCCGAATCTGAACAATAGCAGCGTATTATACTGAGCAATTAGTCGTTACTTATTATTGTAAGTATTGTCATAATTTAATTATAAACAACTTGCTAAAAATAAAATCTTTGTTAACTATATTTGTTTTATTCTTGTAGTATGTTTTTAATAATGAAATTTTTGTCGACGAAGACTGTAGTAACTCATTCAAAATTCAAAAATCGATTTTTTTTATAAAATTTATATTAGTTTGCAATAATTCTGATTGCACAAATAATTACTAGGTGAAAAAATGAAAAATGTAGTAGTGATAATTAAAAAATTACAGAACGCCACTTTTCACAATTATTTTTAAACGCAATTATCTCGGAATGAGCGATTTTGAGTTACGACAGTTTTCGTTGGGAGGGTCGATATATATGTCAAAAATTCATAATTTATAAACAAACATTGATTTTTTGGGGATTTTTCTCCAAAGTCACGAAAAAATTAATTAATTAATTCCATAATTTTGCTTCTCGCTGTTACACAATAAAATTCATAACACGTGAGACATTAATGAAACATAACAACTGATCCTTTTTATTTTTACTCCTAAACATACTATAATGCAGAATTTCAATTTTGAAATTTACCTAACATAATGCCACTAAATATTTGATAGCCGCAAAAATGTCCGTACCATCGCTCTGTGGTGTGTAGTAGATATGAGCTAATTAATTTCTACCGTAATAGATCGAATTCCGTGGTTATCCTACATGAATATTATAGAAACAGCATAGAATAGGCGATAGAGACAAGAGAATGGTATAATATTACATACGTTAAACATGTCTTGTAAAAGTATTTAGTTACAAGTAAAGATTGTTCAAACTAACTGTAAAAACAAACATTAATAATGTAATAATCTTTTCATTGGTTCATTTTTCTTACGTTAGCATCAGCAATACTTTACTACCAAATAGTATGCATCTAGCTTAGGGATTCAGACAAGTAATTTCAATCTTTACCAAAATATACTGTATTAAAGTTGACACAAACTAAATAGTTAAAGAGAGGTTATACACAGACAACTTGGTATTTTATACAAAGGGAAAAATATCCTGTCAGTTCAGAACCGTATATAACAAAGCTTAAATTATTTAACCAATTGGTTGAACTCGAACGGATTAAAATTTTCCGAATCTGAAACGAAGTGCATGTTGTATTCATGAAAAAATGACTGATACCGAGACTTTACCTTAACGGAAATTTCTTAGATTAGATACGTGATATAAAGTTTTTAGGAATGATATTCGGCAAAAGACTTACATAGAGAAATTATGTTTAATACGTAAAAAGTAATTAAAAAAAACGGACTTGAATTTATTAAAAACTAACGTCAATCTTATTCTCAGTTAATAATAAGACACCTCCACTTTAGACAATACCTCTTCTATAGATTAATCTGATCTGTCTGTTTTTAATAAAGACGAAATAAGTCATACCAATATACCTCAGTCTTATCTCTTATTACTATCAAAATATAAAGATTATTACTTCTTATATTTTGTCGAATCCAAAGGCTCAGATAGTTTGCGAGTTGCTGTTATTGATTCTGATCAACATCACAAATTCAAAGTATCACCATTTAATACTATTCACCCTATCTATCCGAGAGAATGGTACGAAAAAATAATATTCACACGGCCGATATTTATGCCATCCTGCAAGCACTGATAATTATAAAGAGGAACAACTATAGTAAGACAGTAGATCCACTGATTCTTTAAGCTCCATTCAGAAAATTGAGCAGCTGTATCTTAGAGGTCAAATTGGTTCCGTTGTGAAAATTTGTAATGTGGTGTTATGAATATCATTTTTTTTTTTAAATAGTTATTTAATTCCAAATTATTTTGAGTTTATCCGGTTGTTAAATTTCTGTTTTGGTGTACTATTTTTTTTACGACAAATTTTTTTTTTAATATGTTTTTTGATTACGTAGATATTTTTGTTACTTATTTTAATAAATGACGGTAGTGGAGGGTGCCGGTTTACAACATCCCTTCCATGGAGAGGCTTATATGCAACAGTGTCTCTTTCAGCGGCTTTGTTCTTGCTGTAAGCCCAATTAGTCCGCTAGCCTTCGACAGCTCAGTAGAGAAACTAAAATGGACTTTCAAAGTTGCTTTTATCTGGCCTGTTGAATTGATATAGTGAAATAAAACAATTACTTGTTTAGAAAGAAACTGTAATTAAAAAAAAGAAAGGGCAAGAAATAGAGCTTATAAAATTTGAGTGTGTAACTTATGGTAGGAACTTAATTTGAATATTACAATTTGCGAACGAAAGCGAAAACACCATAACACTTATTCACATATTACGGCTTCCCGTTCAATTGCATAAACTGCAACGTGGAGAATCCTCTCCGAACTTTTGAAATATAGATGTTAGCCCTACGAAAGTCGCTAAATCACAGTCGGTGTCGACTGGTCACCTCCCTCGCCCCGCTGGAATATTTTTTTGTTTATGCATTTTGAAAAGCCGGTCTGTCGTCAAGTAGGCGCTGTGGGCGGGGATTAACATTCTCAGAAACAAGGTCTAGGTAGACTGGATTTACTTAGGTAACCGACGCGAAAATAGAATTATTTGATACAAAATAGAATTATTGGTTTGGAGATATAGTTCTTCAACATTCCCCCCGGCGTTAGAGCCTTGTGGTCTAACCTACTCTTCTTTATCTTGCATAGGGAGAACCGAAATTTTAGTGATTGCCCTTGTAAATTGGCCATTGATGGTCTTTAACTTGACCACTCTGACTTTGCCATCTTGACCGGGCATTGTATCAACCACCCGCGCTAGAGGCCATTTTAGAGGAGGTACATCGTCCTCTCTCAGAAGAACTAAGTCATTGACTTTTATGTTATCCCTTGATCGGGACCATTTTGGAGAGTTTTGTAAGTGGTTTAAGTAGTCAACAGACCACTTTTTCCAGAAACTTTTTTGTACCTTTGCAATTTGCTGAAAGATGGATAGTTTATTTTCCCGGATACTTTCTAAATTTTGCTCAGGATGCGCAGTCAGGCTGGAGCCTATTATAAAGTGTCCAGGGCTAAGAAAAGTGTAATCAGAAGGGTCGCTGGACATGGCACAGATAGGCCTTGAATTCATCACGGCTTCAATTTGAACCATGACAGTATAAAACTGTTCGAAAGTGAAAGAAGAAGAGCCTATTAGTCTACGCATATGATATTTAGCGCTTTTTACTGAAGCTTTCCAGATCCCAGCCCAATGAGGAGATCTAGGGGGAATAAAGTTCCATGAGATTTGATTTTCAGAAAGGTATTCCACAATGGTTTGAGAATTTGACACATTTTGAAAGAATTTGTATAAGTCACAGAGTTGGTTTCTTGCACCAAAAAAGCATGTGGCACTGTCACTGTAAATGACGGTTGGGTTACCACGTCGAGAAATGAACCTTTTGAGAGCTAATAGAAAGGAAGAAGTTGTTAGATCAGAAACAACCTCAATGTGCACAGCTTTGGTCACCATGCACACGAAAATGGCTATGCATGCCTTGATTTTTGGAGCTTTACGGAGTGAAGAAGATTTTAACAAAAACGGTCCACCATAATCTATACCTATTTTTTGAAAAGGTCTTGTTGTAATAGACAACCTATCTTCAGGTAAGTTACCGATTAGCTGTTGTGCAGGAGGGCACGAAAATCGGAAGCATGTGGTGCAGTTGCGAATAATTCGTTTTGCTTCCTTTAGACCGTTGAGAGGCGAGAATTTTAACCGAAGGTTTGAGAGAACTGTTTGAGCACCAGCATGTCCCAATCTGAGATGTTCATTTTTGATAATAAGATTGACGGTATGATTTTTGGATGGAAGCAGTATCGGACGCTTTTGCAAGTAGTATATGTCGGGGCAGTTTGTAAGTCTGCCTCCACCTCTAAGAAAATTAGAAGAATCTATAAATGGTTTTAGTGAAACGATGTTTTTATTTGAAATAAATTTGTTATTTTTAAGCTCCGAAATTTCTTTTGAGAATGCATCATCTTGTATTTGCTTGATAATGAAATCCATAGCATAATTTAACTCCGCCACAGAAAGAGGTTCAGAAATTTTTTGTTTTTTACAATTAGAGATAAAACGAAATATTATTCGATTGTAACCAAAATATATTTTAAGCGTGAAATATTTGAAAAACGTGAAAAAACTCTCATCCAGAAGTTTTCTCCGTTAGAATTTACCACGAGGCTTATTTTTCGTTCCTCAGGCAGGTTTTCGAGAACTTTGTCATTTGCTAGATTGAAAACATTGAAATTTTTATCTTGTAAGCATTTAGGGCCTTGCCACCAGAAATCGCTATTGAGAATTTCAGAACCAGACATTCCTCGAGAAAGAAGATCTGCAGCATTTGGCGCAGACTTTATGTGAAGCCATGTAAAGTTTTGAGTCAACTCTGGGTCAAGTGCTACCCGGTGAGCCACGAAAACCGACCACTGACTTGGGTGACTTTTACACCACGACAGAGCTAAATGGGAGTCTGACCAGAGTGTGACTCAATGAAATTTTACAGGTTGATTTTCAAAGATAGAAATTACTTTTGTAACAAGTTTTAAAAGAAGAACCATTGCGCACAGCTCAAGCCTAGGAAGTGTTACCGTCTTTAACGGAGTTATCCTTGATTTGGAAGAAACTAATGCACAGGAGATGGTCTCATCGGCATAGAACGTTCTCAGATATACGCATGCGCCATAAGCTGCCAAGCTACTGTCTGAGAATCCATGAAGCTCAACCTTTAGAATTATTTT